TTATATTTATTATTTTTATTTTATGTGTATGAGTGTATTGCCTGCATGTATGTGAGTGCACCCATGTCGTGCAATGCTGTGGAGGTCAGAAGAGGGCTTCGGATTCCCCTGGAACTGGAGTTAAGGACGGTTCGTAGTTGCCATGTGGGTGCTGGGAATCAAACCCGGGTCCTCTGCAAGAGCAGTCAGTGCTCTTCATCACTGAGCCACCTCTCCAGCCCCATGCTGATATTTTTTAACTAGTTGCTCCTTAGTGCCCCTTTCATTTCCACTTTTAAGAATGCAAGTTGCTTTTTGAGAGACAGTGGTTTGAAGCTGAGAATTCAGTAAATATTTAGTTCAGTTGGGTTCTCACTGCTTTAGCAAGTCTTCTAATAAGTTAATGAACAAGAAGATGCAAATTCCCCTTGTACTGGGTTCTTAGAGGAACAGGAGACACTGCTACTTCTAGTGACCTCACAGCTTTGTGGAAAAGATGAAATATTAGTGGAAGCAACATTAGACCATTGTTCACACTGACATCAGAAAGAAAAATACATCTAAAATAATCTGTATACACGAAAATCACAGATGGAGGATTACAGCCTGGTATGGTGGCCCATCCCTTTAATCCCAGCAATTGGGAGGCAGAGGCAGGTTGATCTCTGTGAGTTTCAGGCCAGCCTGGTTTACATATCAAGTTCCAGGTCAGCCTGATCTATATAGTGAGACCTTGTCTCAGAAGAAAAGAAGCTGCAGAGGGAAGAGTAAAAGGTAAAATTTTGAACTGGCCTTTTAAGGAGCTGAGGGTTAGGAATCCTTGCATTTGGACGCCATGGAGAAGTAGAAGAAGCATCTATGGAATAATGAAATAGAATTATCATAATCTGGAATTTTGAATTTCAAGGAGAATGGTGGTGATGCTGAGGGACCTGCTTGTGTTTGGGGGGTCCTATGTAAACAAGGCTGGTTGTGGGTAGGGCACAGGAAATCTTAAAGAGGGAGTTCAGGTCCTGAGTGGTGGAGAAAGGTGGGAGGAACGAACATGATGCCAAAGGTGTGCATCAAATGTTGGTGCCAGGATGGAGGCAGGGTCACGGTGCCATGGAGAGGATCCTTTCAGTTGCACTTGATTTAGCAAGTACTTATCAAATACTATGAAGTGTTCTGAATGGTATGATGATGTGAAGGATAACGAACAGACCTTACCCAGAAGAATATGAGATAAGCAAAGGAATCAGATTATAAATCACTTTGCATATATTACTTCAGTTTATTTTCAGCAGAGACTGGGATTTTTAACTACATTTTACAGATGGGGAAACTGAGACTTGAAGAGATAAGTTTTTCTAAGATCATAAAACTGGTAAGTAATGGAACAAGTCCTTAGGTATACGGGAAGTTCTTTTAATTTAAATCCTAGTCTTCTTCCATCAAATTGACCAGTTGTTGTGCTTGGTACCGAAGATACAGTTGTAAATGAGATACAGTTTCTTTTTTCTATGATCTCCTATCTTGTCAGGAGACAAATGGATTTAAAATTGGCTTTGATGTACTATGAGATGCTCTACTCACGATAGGTCCAGAAGATGCTGCTAGTCAATGGGGTGGATGGGATTTTGGTAAATGAAGATCAAGAAAGCATTTAAAGACTGGGCATGGTAGCACAGCTTTAATTCCAATACATGGAGGGTAGAGGCAGATGGATTTCTTTGAGTTCAAGGGTGGCCTAGTCTACATAGCAAGTTCCATGCTAGCCAGTGCTACCTAGTGAGAACTTGTCTCAAAAAAAACCAAACAAAAACAAACAAATCAAACAAACAAAAATCAAACAAAAAACAACAACAAAAGAAAGCTTTTAGTTTTTAAGTAGAAGAAATTGTATAAGCAAAGGTGTACTGGAAAGTGGTCCAGTTAAGTTGAAGTCTAGGAACAGTGTGGTAAACAGGCTTAAAATATACATGAAGTCAGAACGTTAGCCTCCTATTCAATCAATGTAGTAATTTATTGTGCAAGCATCTTGGCAAGCTACAATTCAAGGCAGGGGTGCAATAGCAAAGGAGATGAAATGTCTGTTCTTAGGGCCTTACATCCCAGTAGGATGGAAAAACTCTAAGTAAGCAATATAAAAACAAGACACAGAATATGAAAAGTGCTAAGAAAAATGGCAAGAAAATATATGTGGTAAAGATGGGAGGGTTCTCTTTTAGATTAAATGTCAGAGATATTTTCTGGTGAAGTGACTCTTTAAGGATTTCTTGAATGAAATATGCCAGACACATAAATATCAAGGAGAAGACTAGTCTGAACTAAGTAAATGTCTGGTTCAAAGGTTCCATGTAGGAATCAGTGTGTCCTACTAGAATTAGAATCATGAGATGAAGGCCAAGGTGGTTAGAAAATAGCAAATACAGAGGAAAGTGGTGAAAGATGAGGCCTTGCAAGGTCATCCCACAGGGTATATGAAGGATATTTGATTTCATTCTCAGTGTGGTGGGGAGCTACTGAACCTTTTAGCTGGGATCTTCATGATATGATGCGAATTATTAAAAAGGCACAGGGAGCCTAATCATTAAGAGGCTGCATTCAGGAGAGAGATGATGGGGCTTAGATGATGGGAGTACAGATGAAAAGAATTATGGATTTGGGCTGTTCTCTATTTTGTGGTGACTTTAACTGAGGAAGAGGGAATGATACAGTGAGGCCTCTCTCCTAGGTGTTTGACTTGATGACTAGTGAATGCCTTCTTGAACTCTGAGCCGCTGTCAGACTTTGATGCCCCCACCCTATTTCCCACTCTTATTTAGCTTATTGGGGAGGGTCAGAGTTTGAGAAGATTTGTGAAGGAAACTCGTTTTATTACTGAACAAATACACCATTTAAGCAGGAGCCAGAAGATGGGCACGAGAAGCCTTTCCTCCTGTGATTGCAATTCTTGCAATTCTTAGATGCTTTCCCTCTGTGGAAGCCTGTCTCGGTCTATCCAGGTATGTCTACTCACTCCTTTCTTCATCACAACTGTGATTTTCTTATATTTATGACATTGGCCTTGAAGGATCATTGTTTTCTGTGTATGTCTGTCTGATTGCATTCTGATCTTGAGGGAAGAGACTGTTATAAATTATAATATTCTCCCTGTGGTATGGCCCAATGGTGTTCAACCTCCATTCCCAGTTTCTGTAGTTCCTTGGCTTCCTTACAGCAAGAGTTTTTGGGTGTGAATTAATGTCTTTCCAGTTAGATGTATTGGTGTTATGGAGGATGTAGAGTTGACAAGACTTATTGGTAATTTGAATGTGGAAGTGAATGAGTGGTAAGGGTGAAATGTAACTCACTGGTGGGGGAGAGAGATAAAAATTATATTTAGGTTAGTAGGTAAGTTCCATTTTGACTGTTTATTGCTTGAATCTTAATGATTTTTACTGTTGTCAGTGCCCAAGAATGCAGAGAACAAAGCGAGTTTAATTTATGGTTTTGAGACAAGGTCTTGCTCTGTAGCCCATGCTGGTCTGAACCTCACTATGCAGACAAGACTGGGATTGAACTCACTGAGATTCTCCTGCCTCAGCTTTCTGAGTGCCGGGATTACAGACACAAGCCAATATGTCTGACTTCACAAAGATAATTTAGAAGAAAAAAATGAGGTCTTATTCTTCAAAAATACCCTGTAAGTGAAGACAACTTGTTTCCATAGGAAAAAAAATCATCAAAATCATTGCTCACCAATCATTTATTATTTTAATACAATTCCATCTTCTACACATAGATTTTGTTGGAAAGGATTTTCAGGATTGATATCTTGGGCCCTTAGGGAGCTTCAAACAGGTGGCATAGGCTTTCTCTCGGTGTGATGGGAAATTCGAAAGGCATTGACTTAGTGTATTGGTCTGGTCAGTTCTCATGACCCATCAATGGACAGTCCTTCTGCGGGAGTAGGAAGGAGCCTAGGCATAGATGTCAACATCAAAAATGTTCTCTATGATCTCTAGGTCTCCTAGAAGCTTCTCACGGTGTTTCATTCAAACCTACACTATGAAGCTTATGGTTCCTGATGTTTTATCCTCAGGAGCCAAAGCTCACCAAGGCCCAGAGTTCCTCTCCTCAGGTGTAATGTAAATCTTCAGAATACCTTTTCATGTCACTGAACTTTATGGAGAAGTGTACCGAAGCCTTCTAATGAGCCAACCAAGTCTTATCTAAACTAAGCAAACCAGGAAATGATTGAAATCCACAAAGTGATCAAAGTTTAGATTTGATTTTTACCCAATTTACTCTACCCAACTAGATAACCCTAGGATTGCTACTGAAGGAAGAGAAATACCCTAAAGTAAATACCAATCTTTAAAATCACTCCTATAGATAGAAAATAGAGGGATGACATGTAAGTCCAATGAACTGACATGTAGTTTCTCCTTTGGACAAAGGGCTCTGATGCTCAACACCCTAGTGCTGATATGACGTCTGCTCTCGTACATAGTCATAGAGGGGGTTGGGGATATTAGCTACCTTGGTGACGTGGTTTCCAGCTTGTTTTCTTCTTTGGGACCTCCCACCACTCTGGGTTGGATGAAAATGTCTTCCCTGTGAACCACTGTCATCTGTGAGCCACTTCCCTGTGAGGCTCTGGTTATCTTCATTCATGTGGGATTTCTCTCTGCTGGAATAGCCTTTGGATTGTTGATCTTGGGACGCTTGATGCCTCTCTTTTTCTTCATTGGTTTGTTTATCCCACTCTTGGTGACAAGTTTGGTCTTTGTGGGTTTGCCTGTGTTTTCTCTGGTGGTTCTGCTCATCTTCATGGGTTTGTCTACCCTGTTGTTGATAATGATGTTGCTTTTCTTCATGAGTTTTCCTGTGCTGTCTCTGGTAGTTCTGCTCATCCCCATGAGTTTTCCCATCTCTTGTCTGATGGCTTTGCTTCTCTTCATGGGTTTTCCTGTCATGGATCTCACATAGACTTTCCTGATCCTCATGACTGTGCCTTCCCCAGCACTGATGATGCTCTTCCTCTGCCCAGTGGCCCTGCTCACTGCTGTCTGATTGCCAGTCTCTCTCTTTGTGGAAGTGTGGCTCTTCTTGCTGGATTTGAGCTAAGAGTTTGTGCTGATTATTCTTCTCAGGCGTCCGTGTTTGGTAACTGGTTTGCTGCTCCCCTCTAGACCAGACTCTCTGTCTCTGGGTTTGATTCACTTCTCCACCTGAAGTCTGGCGACTTAGTCTCCCTGACTTTCCAGATCGTTCAACATACGAATCTCTTCTTGTTCCCCCAGTCCCTTGGAAGTACCTGTTTTGCCCTTGAATTTCAGTTTTCCCAATCTGTGACTGACCACAGTGAGAACTTTGGGCTTGCCCGTCTGTCTGACCATAGTGAGAGCTCTGTCCTTGTCTGTTTGTCTGACCATAATGAGAGCTCTGTCCTCGTCTGTCTGTCTGACCATACTGAGAGCTCTGTCCTTGTCTGTCTGTCTGACCATACTGAGAGCTCTGTCCTCGTCTGTCTGTCTGACCATACTGAGACCTCTGTCCTTGCCTGTCTGTCTGACCATAGTGAGAAATCTGTCTTTGCCTGTCTGTCTGACCATAGTGAGAACTCTGTCCTTGTTTGTCTGTCTGACCATAGTGGGAAATCTGTCCTTGTTCATCTATCTGACCACGATGGAAAATATGGCCTTGTCCATCTGTCTGACTATAGTGAGAGATCTGTCCTTGTCTGTCTGTCTGATCACTGTGGGAGATCTGCCCTTGTCTGTCTGTCTGACTATAGTGAGAGATCTGTCCTTGTCTGTCTGTCTGATCACTGTGGGAGATCTGCCCTTGTCCATCTGTCTGACCATAGTGAGAAACCTGGCCTTGTCTATCTGTCTGACCATAGTGGGAAATCTGTCCTTGTTCATCTATCTGACCACGATGGAAAATATGGCCTTGTCCGTCTGTCTGACTATAGTGAGAGATCTGTCCTTGTCTTTCTGTCTGATCATGGTGAGAAACCTGGCCTTGTGTGTCTGTTTGACCATCATGGGAAATCTGTTCTTGCCTGTCTGTCTGACCACAGTGGGAAATCTGTTCTTGTCCATCTGTCTGACCATAGTGAGAAATCTGTCCTTGTCCATCTGTCTGACCATAGTGAGAAACCTGTCCTTGTCTGTCTGTCTGACCATAGTGGGACCTCTGTCCTTGTCTGTATGTCTGACCACTGTGGGAAATCTGTCCTTGTCTGTCTGTCTGACCATAGTGAGAAACCTGGCCTTGTCCATCTGTTTGACCATAGTGACAACTCTGTCCTTGTCTGTCTGTGTGACCATAGTGAGAAATCTGTCCTTGTCCATTTGTCTGACCATAGTGAGAAATCTGTCCTTGTCCATCTGTCTGACCATAGTGAGAATCCTGGCCTTGTCTGTCTGTCTCACCATAGTGACAACTTTGTCCTTGTCTGTCTGTCTCACCATAGTGAGAAACCTGGCCTTGTGTGTCTATTTGACCATAGTGAGAACTCTGCCCTTGTCTGTCTGTCTGACCATAGTGGGAACTCTGTCCTTGTCTGTCTGTCTGACTGTGGCCTGATTCCTGATGCCTTCCATATTGTTCATATGAACTAGATCCTTGTTGACTGGTCTGGCTAGACCAAGAGTCTTGTCTGAGTCTTCTAGGCTGGCCATGGCTGATTTGTTGTCCAAATCTTTTGGACTGACCATAATAAGGAACCTGAGCTAATTGCTCAGACTGATTTAAGGCAAAAATGTGCCCTTGACTTTTAGACTGGTCACTGCTAGATTTATAACTAGCTTTTTGACCAGAGCTGGAGTGTTGATCTTCTTTCTCAGACTGATCAGAGCTATAATCTGTGTCTTGTCTCTCAGAATGATCATAGTTAGAGTCTGAATCTTGCTTCTCAAAGTGACCAAGGTGTGAGTCCCTGTCTTGTTTCTGAGACTTATCATGTTGCACACTCTCACCTTGTCCCTCAGACTGACTGCTGTGGGAATTCTCTCTTTCTGCCTCATGCCTCTGCCTGTGTTGTCTGTCTGTGTTTCCTGAAAACTCATGTCTCTGTGTTCCTTCCCGTCTTCTTTCTTTTGGTGAAGTTCTATCTCCACACAACTTACTATCTATCTTATGATGGCAGGCTTGGACCAGTTGGAACACCAACAACAGGTATTCACGAAAGTCAATATATCCATTTCTGTCTCGGTCTAAGTGATCCAAAATGGTTTCCACAGTCTCTGGGTCATTTGGTCTCTGTGAGAAGATAAAACAAAGAAAAAAAGTCAAATGTTCTCTTCTGGACATTGGGTCCAGTTCCACATGGGTTTTCCTTTATTGAGGAATCATTAATGTGAAATAGCTTGTGTTTGGTGCTAGTCCTTCATTAGCTGATTCACCAAACCTTATCCCTTGATAAATCACTGGGGGTATGACCATATGGAACGGACATCCTTAAAGTTAGCTGCATTGACAATTCATTTGAATCATTTGAGAAAGTTATTCATCCTTTTACACTCTATAGTCTAAATGTTTATGCATTTCTTTAGGGAAGTTGGCTTTCTTCATGTTTGTATCCTCAGTAACTAGGATTGTGCTGGTATTGAGTACATGGACGAGATTACATGTAAAAATAAAATATGAATGGCAGATTTTCTTCTAAAAATTATTCCCCATTACTTTGAAATTATTCTGTCTTTTGTTCAAAATCATATACAAAGAGGGTGTGTGTGTGTGTGCGTGTGTGTGTATGTGCGTGTGTGTGCATGTGTGCGTGCATGCATGCATGTGTGTGTGTGTGTGTGTGTGTGTGTGTGTGTGCTGGGAAAGAACTACTGAGGAGATACCTGAACTACAAGCACTTCCCACTATATTACTGGTGAATCATGACCAACTAAAACAAACCATCTGGATTCAGATGTCAGAATCATACTTGGTCCTATGGAGTGATGTTCCACTCCATGGGGCCAAATATCTATGCATCTTACCCGGAGTATGTCTCCCAACTCAGTGAAGAGCAGCTGCTTGAACTCCTTCTTGCACAGTGAACTGCATTCCCCGTTCTGTTTGGCATACGTCTGGAACACCTTGGACACGTTGAGTATGCTGCTAAGAAGTTGAGGCATTTTGGAAAATATAGGTGAATCTAAAATAAGAAATGGAATTTTGTTTATGTTTGGGGTGAAGACTTGGGAATAACATTTCTGGAGGAAGAGGGGCTTCTTAGGTTTGGGAGAGAAGCTTAAGGAATGACAGAGCCCTTCTTAGCCATTCCTTCACCTTGATCCCACATTCAGACTCCAAATATCATACACTATGGCAATGGTTCAAAATTGGTTTTCCTCTGCTAGAAAAAGGCAACGTTTTAAAAAATAAAAATACGTGGTAGATGTTTTGCATGCCCCACTCTCTACTGTGGGTGGGACTTGCTTGCTTGAGACTCTCATGTTAGCACAAAAATGGAGGGAAGTCAGCACATAGAGAATGAGCCAGAGGCAAGCATAGTAGCACATAACTCTCTGTCAGTGACTGGGGAGGGCACTAAATGTATCCCATTTTAAGAGATCTCCATCTTGTGAGTCTTCTTCGAGAAATGAAGGGGGTAAGAAGTCACTCTGAATGGTCTAAGAAAGCTTCCTGAGAGGCTAAAATCAAGCACAGCTTTCTAGCCTGGATGATCATTTTAGGATCTGCTTATTAACTGGAATCAGTAAACACAAAATTGTTACAGAGGAAAATAACAACTGCATACACAGCCAAATGAACTGCATAGATGGCAGGTGATGTATAATCAGTTAGGTCCTTATTGGTTATGTCGGGAAGCGGGAGTCTTTTGGAATCTGCACGCCAATTTCTTCTAACAGTAAGAAAATTTTCATTACTAGGGTTATAGGCTTCCAAAAACAAAACCACAATGGCAAAATATAGGTATATAGTGATGCGCATAAATATGTGACAAATAGCAGATTGCATGGAGCCATCTGAGTCCTTTGTGATAATTCATTTTGTTGAGCTTGAGTATTGCTGAGGCCCCGAGGTCCAGGGCCATGACATTTGTGAGCTCTAAACAACTGGGTCTTACCTAACTTGTTCAAATGTCAGTGCTCCACTAGGGAACACTCAGCTATCAGTCAATCATCTAAACTCTCAGTTTGGATATAGCCCACTGTAGCTATCATCATATAACATAGAGCTTTGAAAAAGAAGCAGAAAGGTGCCCTAGAAGATCATTCATGGGGAGTAGCCTTACCCCTCCATGCCCCAGCACTTTATACTGCCAGACTGGCAGATGCATGTCTTACCTGCTTGAGGAAGAGTGAGCAGAAGATTCAGAGGCCAGAAAGGATGCCGGAGACCTGAAAATACATCCTATTTATAGGGTTTTTAATTGTCCTACTAAGTCATTCCAGGAGACACCCATTCTGTGGTACAGACTGAATCACCCTGGGCTCAACCCAGCTCAGCCCAGTTCAGCTCAGCTTGACTTCTCCCTCTGCAAACCGTTTGCTTTATTTACTTCCCTTATTTGCTCAAGAACCTGTTTGTCAGTGGAGTAGGTGACACCGTTCAAGTCTCAACCCCACTTAATTAGTGTGCTACATGCTGTGTGGGTCCCAAAAGAAAGAGATACAAGCTGAGGTCATCCTTAATAATTGTTACTTGTCAAGGCTGACAGAGGTAGGCAACAATCTGGTCATACCAAAGAAGGGTATCCAAACCCACCAAAATAGGGATTAGGGAGTATACACATTTGACCCGGATATAATTTCTGGAAAAGATTTGTCATAAACTAATCTCTTGCTTGTAAAAGTATATTCTGTTGACCTATTTTGAATGCTAGTTTTTCGTTTAACAATCCTACAGGCTTGTGGGAGAAGTAGTTACACGATCAACTTTAGGGACACATTGGGTGGCAGGTGATGATATTGGAACTGCCACCACTTGAGTCTTTTAAGTCTTACTAAGAAGTTGGAGTTGGGGGGAACAACTTGGAAGCTTATGGTGTCTGGGATAGGGATATTGTTAATGACCTGGGCCTTCACTCATTTCCCATCTATATAATACCTGTCACATGCCAGAACAGTGTGTTGGTCATAGAAGGTTCTTATAAATACCTCTGGGATAGGTGAATTACTGACTTGTGGACACATTGGAGAATCTTGTATATGGAGCCAAGAGTTCAAGATTCACCTGCATTTCTACTTTGTCCTACATCCTGATCTCTCTTGGACCCTTTTCTATATAAACAATTGCCCAATCAGTTATTTGTAATGATACTTGCAATTATTTACTATGAGTTTAGGATTTTGCAAAGGAATCATAAAAGTGAAGAAAGATTTTAGTACAATTAGAATAAAGAAACTTCACATAGAAAAAGATTTTGAAAATCAGGGGTAGGACATGCTAAGTGTTCTAATGCTAATTAGAAAACTTAGGTGGAGTCCTTCTGGGCTGGTCCTGGGAGTCCCTCTTTTTAGCAAGATTTGTGCTGTTCCTCAGAGTATTCAGGTAGGAAGAGACAAAAGCAAAGAAGTTCTGGGTAGGGAAAAAAGAAGACCAAAGGTCAGCTGGTAAATCTGGTAAAGCAGAGCGTGTATGGATGAGCAGAGGTCAAGAATTTTGGAGCTGAAAGGCAAATCTAATCTTAGCCTCTTAGTTTTATGAATGAGGATGCTGAATTCCAGTTAGACTGAGTGACTTGCTGAAGGACTCATAAGGCCAAGGCTATGGCAGAAGCCAGGCCCACTACAGTGTGTACTTACCCTGGCCCAGTATGCTTTGCTTTTTGCTTTTTTGAGATGAGCGCTCACTATGTAACCCAAGCTAGCCTTGAACCCATGGCAATCCTCCTGCCTTAGCTACTCAAGTACCCAAATTACAGGTGCGTGTCACTACACGTGGCTAATATGTGTTCTTATACATTCTCTGGAACAGATTTGGGGTCCAATTTAGGATTTATTTTTAATGATCAATGTGAGTTAGGGACCATTTTTATCAGAAAGTGACATAATCAAAGCATTGCTTGGGGAAGATTTTAATCTTGCAATATGTATCTAGCTATCTTAGTTTACCTGGAACCAAAGGATTTCCTGGAACATGAGACATTCAGTGCTAAGATTGGGACTGCGCTGAGCAACCTGGGCCAAGTTGGTCACTGTAGTTTATGTTGTATAGATGAACTGAGAGAGGAGACTGTCAGAACAGGGAGTCCAGTTAGGAGTCAGTGGTGTGGCTTGGGTATGGAGCAAGCTAAGGGCTTTGATTATGGTCAAGCAGGTGGATGGATATTAGAAGGAAAGAACAGATGGAGTTTTGGAACAGATTAGATAGTGACAAAGAAAGTGAGGTTATCAGGGATGATCCCAAGTCTTTAAGTTCAGATAGTAAAACAACCTGGCATACTGAAAAAAGATGACTTCTCATGGGCTGATGGGGCCCGACTCAGGCTTCTGCTGGTGTTGCACGGTCCTTCCTTCCACCTTCTGAAGCTCCGTTTATCCTGTCTCCAGCTTGCATCCACTCTCTCTCTGGAGTCTTCCCAGCGCTTGTCCTGATGTGCACACGTCTGTTTCCAATCCTGAGAGCTGGCTCATGCTGAGATTCCTTTTCCGTTTGCATGTATGATTGGTACTGCTCTTCTCACTTACTAGGACTGAAGACCTAGAGGTAGTCAGGTTGAACCTGGAGGTGAATAAGGAGAATATGGGCAGGGTTGCGACAGGAGGCAAAGGAAACAGCTATCATTGTAGAGAGCAACAGTGCTGTTGGACTGTGCCGGGGATGCTTAGCAGCTGATTTTCTTTGAGGGAGGTGCTAGATGGCAACGCTTCTTGCTTGATACTTCAGCAGAAATACTCTGTTCTTAACAGTTGGATCTTCTGTCAGGCATTCACTTAACATTTAAGCTCTCCAGCATGGTCCGAGAATTCTGTTGCTCATTCAGCCAGTTAATCAGTGGGTACTTGTGAGTGTATGGAAGCCCTTTTTGTGGCCTTGAGTTAAAAGACGGCCTTTGTTTTTTGTATGTGTGTGGGGTGTGTGTCTCTGTGTGTGCATGTATGTAAGCAGGTATGCTTGTAGGCCAGAGGTCAATGTCAGTTCTTTTCCTCAGTTGCCCTCTACTTTATTTTTAAAGCATGGTCTCTCAATGAACCCAGAACAACTGTTTTGGTTAGACTGGTGACCAGAAAGCCCCGGGGTTTCTCCTGTCTCTGCCTCCCCAGCACTGGGATTACAGACACATGCTGCAGCACCAGCATTTTATGTGGGTGCTGAGGATCCACTCAGGTCCTCAAGCTTGTGTGACAAGCTCTTTGCCAACTGAGCCATCTCCTCAACCTTCCCGATCCTTGTTCTTAAGGAACTTTTAATCCCATTTGGAGGTAGAAGACACAGGAAGAAGGGAAGGTTTCGGGAGTTAGAAATAATACATATTTTTGTGCCTGTAATGCCAGCACCAGGAAGGCTGAGGCAGGAGGTCCACGAATTTGAGGTCAGCCCAGGCTTGGTAGTGAGATCTTACCTCAAACAAACAGGAAATAGTCATAGTATTTTTATGTGCATTTTATTGAAGGCATCACAGAATGTGCTTGGTAACCTTGGGCAAACGGACTTGAGTTTCTTCATTTGTAAAAGAGAGGGTTGGAGCTTTCTTTTGAAGTAATATTCTGATTCTATTCTTCCAATCTTAGGTTTGCCAGAGATTTTCAGGCAATATTAACTTGGTTTTATTCACAAATTTGATGAAGGTTCACTCTTCCCCTGTGGAAAATGGAGAAGGCAGTTATGGCTGCTTGCTTACTTTGTTAGAATTTGTGAACTGTGTGAAGACCTGTACTACTCTTGATCTTTGTTTCTCACTGTATTTTGATGCTTTTAATGGAATCATGTTGAAGTGTGGCCTTGTGGTCTCTCAAAGGGAAGAGGTTTTTAAGCTATCATCTCTTGAGGTTTCCTGGGCTAGGCTCAGTTAAGTATTTTATCTATGATGTTCTGTTAGATTCCAAAAGCAAACAAGGAAACTGAAGGTCAGAGAAGGGCAAACAGCTTTTTCACGGTTGCACTGCTTGAGCTAAAGTCTGAACCCATGTCTTCCTCATTCCAAGGTTCTTGTTCTTAAACTCTA